GTAGCGAGATAATCGCAGCTGGTAAGCTCCTCCTTACGGTAAATCGCGCGTCACTGTTCATCGTTTGTTTCATACAGTTAGTCCTGCTTTGTAGATTTACTCAGTATCATATTCACATTGACTTTCAGTTCATTTAGACCAAAATATATCATGTATTTTATCACTAACGTTCCCATAATAAGAATCTCATGTTAAGCTGGTATTATATTTCGCTTGCAACGTTTATTTGAATTTTATATTTGTCAATAAAGGTTTAGTTACCCAAGTTTGAGGTACCATCTCCGGGTGGGGGGACATTAGGTCGCCGAAAAAGGGCGGTCCCTGCGGTCATTTGCAACAAATGCGCACCCTTGTACATGCGCGAACATGCGTTCCTGCAGGGAATCCGCGCGGGACTCTTCCAAATTCGGCGACCTAATGTCCTCCACCCACGATCTCCTCGTACACAACTCCGTCAGTCCAAAGACCTGCGTGGCAGTTGATATTTTGGTGGCATTGTCAAGTGGTATTCGACGATTATAGATAGTACTGACTATATATCTCGTCTCTCAGTCCATTACACTCCCCGCTCTCCCCCCCCCCCCCCTCCCACCTCTTCGGCAACTGGATTTATTGGCTCCAGCAGCCAATCTTTCTGCAAAAGGGTGGAGTTCGCTCTCCGCCCAAACAGCAGTCTCCACCCCCAGAATAGCTATTGACATCTTCAGAAGCTGCAAAGTACATTTTCAGATGCAGCTCATCAAGGAAATTCAAGATAGATAAATACTCCAAACTTGTCAATCTGCGAGCCGCTGCCTTTGAAAATCCAGCAAGACACGGCAATCCAAAAATGAAAATTTGAAGGAAACGGAAAAGTTGTTAAAGCTGGAACGTGATTCAAAGCGTTTTCTGAAGACAGGGAAAAAAGGCAAAAACGGTGGACAGAGCGCGATTTAGAATTATACTTTACTCAGGGATATAATCTCGACCGAGGAAACCGTCCATGATAGAAAAATCGGAAACTTATGTGAAATAACAGAAATGCAGTGTCCCAAAAAGATGTGCACACTGTTTGATCGTTAATAACTCTCTACCTTTCATGTCTTTTGCCGAGCTTGAGCTATCATTCTTTAGAGCGAGTTCAATTTAAATTTACGTATGGAGCGACTCACCAATTACTCTTCATTACTGTAGAAAACAATTTTCATTTGTTCCTCGCTTTTTAGGCTCTGACGAAGGCGAACTTCAACATTATATAAGGCTCAGCAACTGTACACAACTATAAGATGAGAGAGAGGTGAGATGCCAAAACTTATAGAAAGGCGAACTTGGAGGATTGCGTGAAAAGAGTTGCACCAGAGAACAAAACAAGAGAATTGCGAAAATATGGTTTTGGCCGGTTTTCTCGTTCAAATCAAAAATAGGGTTTCGCGACGTTGTGAGCGTGAAAGTAGAGATCATGCGCATCACTATGACTGGTCTTTCTCCTTCGCTCGCCGCGTCTCCGCGGGGTCTTAACGAGACCTTGCAACATTATACAGAATGCCCCAAAAAGATGTGCACACTGTCTGATCGTTAACAACGCTCTTGCTTTCATGTCTTTTGCCGAGTCTGAGGTATCATTCTTTAAAGCGAGGTTCAACTTAGATCTACGTATGGAGCGATTCACCATTCACTCTTCTAAGTTTAGGATCACGGTATGAGCTTTTAGCATCACTGTGGAAAAAGCCTTTTGACGAAATAACTTCGAAAAAATCTAGAATTTGTGTAGCAAGATTTTCAGGCGTGCTAATTTTCGTACATAACTTTTTACTAGTTTTTCGAGCTTTCTTTATGGAGTACTAGCTTGCTTACCCGGCTCCGCCCGGCCCTGTCAAAACACTATGTCAAAGTGCACTATCCCTATTCCTGTACGAACCTTCCCCTGTGCCCAGCCTACATGCCAAAAACTATTCCCGCTGTTTTAGTAAACAGCATGTTCGATTACCCCACTGTGCAAACTCCCAGCCCCGTAGCTCAAACTTTGCAAAAAATCGATAAAATCGATAAAAATAATCAATAATCCTAAACACTAATATTGTATTCGGAATCCCCATGCTCGATTACCCCCCTATGCTAACTCCCAGCCCCGTAGCTCAAACTTTGCAAAAAAATCGATAAAATCGATAAAAGTAATCGATAATCCTAAACACTAATATTGTATTCGGAATCCCCATGCTCGCTTCCCCCCACCCTGTGCCGACTCCCAGCCCCGTAGGTGAACTCTGTAAAAAATCGATAAAAATTGATAAAATCGATATCGATTGATGAAGAAAAGTAGCCTATGACGCTCGCCCCATCCCGATGTGTATATGTGCCAAGTTTGGTCCAGATCGGTCCAAAAATGGAATTTTCTATTCGGAACATACGTACAGACATGCAGACAGAGAGACAGACATACAGACAGACAGACGGACAGACATACAAACAGACATTCAGCTTTATATATAAGATTCACATTTCTGACTAACACTGGAAAATCATTTGTCACCCTAATGTCTGTTTGTCTGTCTGTATGTATGTCTGTCTGTCTGTACGTATGTTCCGAATAGAAAATTCCATTTCTGAACCGATCCGGACCAAACTTGGCACACATACACTACGGGCCCCGGCGGGTGTCATAGGCTACTTTTCGTCATCGATCGATATCGATTTTATCAAATCGATAAAATCGATATCGATCGATGACGAAAAGTAGCCTATGACACCCGCCGGGGCCCGAAGTGTATGTATGCCAAGTTTGGTCCGGATCGGTTAAGAAATGAAATTTTCTATTCGGAACATATGGCGGAGCCGGGTAAGCCAGCTAGTAACTCATGAAAGACACAGTGTACTGACGTGCAATTTTCATATTTAGAATCAGCAACTTCGATTAACCCAATTCAAGAGTCTCTGGCTTGTTTGGCTTTCTTTCTGAGGCAAAACACCGCTTTCAATGGCTTAAAATCCTCCTCAAAATTCCTACCGTAGTCCTACAGTAATGATGAGCTGCTGATAAGTCGCTCCATACTATAAACCTAAGTTGAATCTTGCTCCAAAGAATGATACCTCAAACTCGGCAAAAGGCTCGAAAGCAAGAGAGTTAACAACAAACAAACATCTTTTTGGGACACCCTATATATGATCCATACTATCTAGATCGTATGGTGGCCTTCTGGAGAAGACTAGTCTTGGAAAAAGGTATTACCTCACATTACTTTTCACAGATTTTTGCATAATTTTCCGCAAATAATTTTCTATTTATACAGTTATCTATTTCCGTTATTCAAACAAACAACTCTTTATTTTAGCCTTGCTTTCAGATCGCGCAAGCTTTTCGCAGGACACCATGGAGCATGTCAGTCATCTGATAACCTGTCCTTTGAGCTTATGTTTAACTTGATGGTCGCTTGTATGCTTATATAGCATGTTTTACGATACCCCTTTGCTTTTGAAGAAGTCCCAAAAAAAAACAAAGTTTAGCCTGTCTCTGTTGATGATTTCTGTATCATCAACCATTGATGAACTCTATATTCTGGATAGCCTACGGAATCCCCGTAGGCTAAATGGTGAGCTAACATTTGATTCAACTGGCTTGGCACCATTAGGGCGGGGTTTTGTGATCTAATTGAGGCCGCTCGCGCCCGCGACGCACCTGCGTCTCTCTCGCGCGAGTGCTCTCTGATCATTACCTAGTCTTAATTAGGTCACGGAGCCTCGCCTTTGCCGGTGCCAAGCCAGTTGAATCAAATGATACCCTCTCTTGAGTATCTAATCACTCAAGAGTGAGTGGTACCCGTGCGCCAGGAGTGTAGCCAATCGGCTGCATCTCCTTTCAAGCACCAACTCGTACGCTTTGTACCTTGGACTTTGTACCTTTAGCTCCGCCTTTCTTTGTACACAAGGAGCCTCCGAATGTATTAAAGCCCCTTCCCCGGTCCACACCGGGACACCTCCATGTTCTCTGTCTAAATCTACGTCACGTGCGAATAAACCTATTCCACAACTACTCGTCTACCCTATCACTTGGTATCCACCAAAGTGTCCATTCGATCTATGTCGGGGCCCGAGGTCCGGCACAAAAGGTCTCAAGGTCACACTGGAACATCTTTGTGGTAGAAAGCAAAAAAGATTTTGCAAGTTGTGAGGAGAAGTCCCGAAAAAATCGGCTAATATCTCGGGTTTTACGCGTTTAACGTGTTCGCAAACGAGCGAATTTCAAATGCAAGGTCCAAACAAACAAATGGCTTGTTTACAGCGCGCAAACATCACATTACACTTAAGACAATGTGTATACAATATTACTCCGAGATGCACTAAAAAGTTTCAAAAAATCATGTGCCCTACACCTGTTCTGGAATTTGTTGGTTTCAAAACCACCGTCAAACCAGTTGGGTTGGTTCGAAACACAAATATCAGAGCGTTCACGTAAGTTTTAGACTTTTCAGCCTAAACGACAGGCACAGAAATCTTACCAAATAAAAAAGAGTAAATTGAACGAATGCCTCTCTCCTTTTTTGAACCAGGATTAGCATAAACATACGCAGCGATAGATCGCTCCATTCAAACGCGTTCAAGGGCCTCCATAAACTATTCAGCGACTTGCGTAGCCAAATTATTGTAGCCTACAGATTTTGTTGAATATTGACCTAGGGGGTTTCCGATTCAATGAACATCAAAGAGCCTTTGATTTAATACCCCAAAATATGTTTTTTTGCTTTTTTTGTTGTACTAGCAACCTGAAAAAATAGTTTTTCTGCTTTTATTTTGTTGTGTTAATTGGACAAAGCTTTTCCAAGTAAATTTGACGTCAAAGAGAACTTCGTATGTTTTTGCGAATTCAATTGGGACTTTGTTTCCAAAAATGCTACAAATCAACGCGTGCTGGGTCCTGGCCGGGTCTTGTCCGGAAATCGGCGTGGAAGTCCGGAAATCGCCGTGGAAGCTAATCTGCGCGGTGAGCAATCCCATGCTGCGGGCGATAGGCATAAACTGTAACTTACCTTGTACTGTTTGCCAGAGAGTGAAGCTCGTGACATACGACGTTGAGTGCGGTAGGCCTCAAGCTAAACCATGTTACAATCAGATTAAACACTTCATTTCTGTTAGAACAAACCCTCCTCCTCGAGTCACCAGCAAAGTTGTTGAGGTACTGTCCAACATTTGCAATTATGATCATCGTGATGGGGATGCCGCAGATGCCGTACACGATACAAAATAGACGACCGGCGTAGGTAATGGGTGCAATACGATTGTAGCCTGCTATGAGAGAAGTTTAAACCTCAACTTACTTTTTTTTTCATCTTCGCTTTGTTTTCTTAACACTGATCAAGAAGAAACCTACCAAGAGTAGTGACAATGCCAAAGCCATAAAGTGTAGCAGTAACGAATGACCATTCGCTGCGCTCATCTCTGAAATCTTTGTCATAGGTCAGATTAAATGCAAAATAGTGGGCGAATTGAGGACAGTGGCTCGAGAAGAGTGCGTTGCAAACTTTCAATCTCTTTTGATCTTCCGGATGCGTTGAATCTAGGTCTGTGGTTGTTCTCAAAAGTCAAAAGAGTGCTTTGATGGCATTTTGGCGTCATGAAATGGTAGTAGACTTAACAAAAACAATTATTTTTGCACTGCTGATCCTAAGCAAAGCATCGATTATTGGAAGAAGAACCTTCAAGTAGTCAGAAGTCGAAGTGGCCAATCCATACAAGCTGCATACCTTTAAATGCAGCATAAAAAGTTGACTCTAAATCTGTCTTCGTTATCTGCAGAGCGCTCTTGTGGACGGAATTATAAGCCTTTGAAGGCCAATATTTTGCTAAGAAATTGTGCGTGTAAAGTGCAAACTTGGCCGTACAAAGCCATTCTCGGCTCAGTGTTGGACCAAAACGTGCAAGTAGATCACTTCATATGACCCATACCTGGAGGTGAGCTGAAAGAGCAATAATGTGCCTAATTTCGCAATTTTTGTTTACGATTTTTTCGCAGTAAAGCTGCCCATAACTTCGCCTACAAAGGCGCTCTGCAGATATGGAAGACAGATTTGAAATCAACATTCTATGCTGCATCGAATGGTATACAGCTTGTATGGATTGGCCACTTCGACTTCTGTACCACTCCCTTGTTAGGCATGACATAAAGACTCCACTAACAAGGGAGGTCCGATTAGTCGAAAAGGCAATTCCAAATAAGTTTTACACCACTTTGAAGAGCACCAAATGGTGATCCCAAATCTGATTTCGTTATCTGCCGAGAGCCTCTGCATGCCGAATTATGGATATTTTCTTGGTGCGAAAAATGAATGCATAATGTAGGTAAAATGGAGTTTTACGGTCTTTTCAGCGTTCAAACAGAGCAATGTTAAGTATGAATGTTTTGGACAGAAGGTATTTTTTGAATAAAGTGCTCTGAAATTCAACATTGGACCATTTGAGCGATTCTGACGATTTTTGTTCTATTCATGCATTTGATTTTTCAAGTCAAAACCGCTCATAACTCGACGTGCAAAGGTGCTCGGCAGATAACGAAGACAGATTTGGAATCAGCGTTTAATGCTCTCTATAGTCGTATCAATTTCATGTGAAAAGGCCACTTTGACCAAACGCTCAGATAATCGCGGGGGGCCGGCGGTCCGCAAACTCGCATTTTCTTGCAGGTGGTCAGCAGAATATTGGGGCGTGGCCAAACCTTCGCGGGCGGTAACCTCCTTTACTGTCGAATGTCCCGCTAGCAGGGCAGAATACTTCTGCGGGCGCTCGTCAAATAGTCTCTTTCAGCGAGCGCTGGTCAAACTTTCAGCAGGCGCTCGGACTCTTTTTAAGCAGTTTCGAGCGTACGTCGGGCAAGTGTGAGACTCTATGCTGCAGAGGTGTCATCGATGGTTTAATTACTCAAGTTTGAGGTACTTTCTCTTAGCGGAAAGTACCTGAGGGCTATGCGGTCCTCCACAAAGGTCCGCGCGGCCGTCAATAATGTTGCATATTCTCGCGGAAAGTCCGCGAGAATGCGGCCAATGTGCCGCAACTAATCTATAGAAAAACCGCGATAGTTTTCCGAGCATTCGCTTGAAAATTGGTCAACATTCCTCCAAATTTCTGCAAGCGGACCGCAGGAAATCAGCGAACTATTTTTCCGGTGCTCGCTTGCTCAAAATTCGCATGGCCGCCTGCCCCCTGCGATTATCTGAGCGGACCTCCCTTGTGAGTATATTTAGTAGCATATTCGTAATTATTACCCTAAAATCCGTACAATAAGTCCGCCTATCAGATAAGTCCGCCCTATCAGATAAGTCCGCAGAAGAACTAACAGTTAAGTCCGCTTTCTTGACAACGAAAGTTGAAATCGCGCCGCCAAAAGTCCTGCAGATAAGTCCGCTTTCTCGTGCTCAGGATAGGCGAACTTATCTGCTGCGGACTTATCTGATAATGGATTAAGGAGGACTTATCTGGTCGACTTTTGGCGACGCAGAAGACGTTTTTTCATCGATTTTTCGCGTCGAAACTGCAGATAAGTCCGGACTTATTATACGGATTTTAGGTATGTCAAATAACTCCTGCGGGCCAAATTTTAACGAATTTTGAGAGTTCCCATTATTGGGCCACCCATGTGAAGTGGTCATTTTCGAACATGATTAACTATATTTTAAAAGTGAAATAGCTACCTCTTTTCGTACTTAAATAAAGCACTACTCCCCATTTGCCCATTTCATAAATCCTGCTTTGAATAAATATCAAACTATGGAAATACGAGCGAGCCAATATTTGATTTGTCCCATTTTTCGCTTACAGTGGTTGTGCTTCCAGCAACTATTCTCAAATGGAAAAGAAAACAAATTCAGCTCTAATCACTTCTATAAAAACTGCGAGATTGTGGCTGTCAAACTGTATGATCTTTGTCCGTGAAGATCTTGTTCGCGGGTGAGTGACTTTTCATACGATGAGCAATTCCGAGGTGCGAGGTGTGAACACCTACGGCTGAGTGTCAAGTCTTGCACCTCCGTGCCTAGTATACTGTAGAGGGGGGGGAAGGGGGACTTTTCATACGAATGCCTCCACATCATCTTTTGGCAACGACCCAGTAAAAACTGGCACCATGCCAGGTTTGGGCCTACTGGCTCCATTCCAAAAAAACGTCTAGATTAGCCTTTGCAGTACCGCGAATTTGGATGAATTTAGAAAACTTGAATACTGTATGGATTCAAAAAGTGTTTTGCTGCGAAAAATAGCACTATGATCGTTCCACTTCCAAATTTTTTAGTATTTATGTCGACATAATTCGGTCTCTTTTGCAAACGTTTTGAACTGGTTTGAGTATTGTCACATGCCTCTCCGACCTTTCAGCATGAACTGGAAGTGTTACTCTTCCCATAGGGGATATTGGAGGGGGAAGACGGTCATTTTTATGTGTTTTTGACCTTTATCAATTTTGTTTGAAATCGATTTCAAGATGATGAGACTGAACAATCCCTAAATTCCCTAATATACTTTTTTCGAAATTTCAAGTAATTCTAGGACTTCATAAAACACTAAATATGTGCTATATGCTGCCCATCTGGCAATAGGAACTTGACATATCTATACCCATTGGAGGGAGGGTATGCGACTCGATAAAGCGAACTATTCATTACCACAATTGTGCCAGTTGTTTGCGAAAATGAATTCGCTGTGGCCTGACGATCTTTACTATGATACGCTTTTTCAACCCGATAAGCTTTATACAACAGATAAAATCAAGATATTTTTAATTGACGCATTTTTGATAATAAACGTTTCATTTTAGTCCATTTTAATCGATAACTGGACCTATTACCAGCACCATAGCATACGCTAGAAGGTCAAAGTGATCGGGGAGCATTCGTATATAAAGTCCCCCTCCCCCTCCCCTCACCTAGGCGTAGTGGAGAATCCTACTCATTACATGGATGGAGAGGCGCGATGTAGGTGTGAGGTAGGTGCGAAGGCTAGGTGCGAAGTATCCGATCGTATGAAAAGTCCCCCCCCCCCTTGTTCGCAGGTAAGTTAACAAGGTGTGGCACAACCCCAGAAAAGACGTGGCTGCCACACGTCGTGTCACACCTCATTAGCTTGCCTTCAGAACATTCAATTATCTGTGTTTTTAATCTTTGCCACCGCTAAACATTCTTCCCTACACAGTAGGAAATTTATTCAAAAACGTTCCATCTGAGGAAAGTCATAATCGGTTTTCCTTACTTATGCAAATGGAAGATATTGCGAATATATTAGGTTGGTTCATAATTTATGCACGTTTTTCCTATCTCTTCTTTCAAACGCTAGCTTTCATTCAGAAATCGCTTTCCCTAAATTTTTTGAACTGTCGGAAAGCCCGTTTTCAGTTTCTAACGTACACTTTCATTTTCGGAGATTTGTTCAAAACAAAGTTACGATGAGGAACTCAAACTTGAATTTTTTCCTTTCATTCCACTTGCCCTAAATCCATGGAAAAGCTCAAATTTATTTCAGTATTCATTACAATTGCAAAGATCTGTGCCACAAAATGCTCACCGAAACTAAATTTTTTGAAAATCCTCAGCCGAGAAGCTTTAACTCCAACTTAGCTGATTGCTGGGATTACTACAAGCTTTATAAACGGCTTAGGTGAGATGCGATTGCAACACTTCTACTTCGCTCTGGTAGAGTAAGCCAAGGACTACCAATATTAGGAAAATGGCAGAATCTCCTCGTTTTTTGAATGAGCAAAATGGAGAAATCTAATAAACCGCAGTTTTCTGTCTTCTCTGAAATGCGGGGAAATTGGTGCTTTTGCTTTCTCGAAATATTTTTCTCGCAGTTGGTAAAATCCAGGTTTCACACTACACTGAATCGACCATCGGCCATACAATGAGCAAAGTTTCCTCCATTCTAGTCTTTTCGATAGTAAGTTATGCTTTTTCAAACTAAAGCTTTCCAGAAAAAAATTCGCGGTAATTTTTGAGGCGGAAAAATTTTTCCCATGGGGAGTACAATCACATAAAAGTATATGTTGTATAGCTATAGGTTTGCTTCATTAACAGTTTTCAATTCAATTCTTAGAAGATTTGTCTTGTAAAAGAATTATTTTGATTAACAGTGGAACTTGAGAAAACGTGCATTAATTATGAACGAACTCAATATCTACTCCACTCATTTTCTAAGGGCCATCTGTTAATATCCATTGATACTATACTTGGGACCGAATCGAATAATTATTCGATCATTCGAATAAATCATTCGAATGCAAATGATTCGAAAAGTCGAATATTCGAAAATCTGAGATTTCGAATAAAATTCGAAAGTCGAATATTCGAAATTTTCAGTTTTCGAATATATTCGATAATCGAATATTCGAAAATCTTCATTTTCGAATATTATTCGAAAGTCGAATATCCGAAAATCTTAACTTTCGAATATTATTCGATAGTCGAATATTCGAGGGTCATTCATTCGATCATTCGATGTCCATCAAATATTCGAATATTCGTTGAGCACCGAATATTCGGAAATTCGATTAGAATTGACTATTCGAAAATTCGATAAGTACCGAATATTCGAAAATTCGACATGCATAGCGTATACGGGGTGTCTCAAAAGTATTTATACACCGTTTGATCGCTAATTCCTCTCAAAGTCTTTTGCCAATTTCTGGGTAACATCCAGTAGGGATGTCTTCAGCTTATAAATACAGCAGAAAGCGAATCACACCCATGTTTTTATGTGTGTTACCACGGTAGGAAATCGGTGCAAAATAAACATCCAAAAAATTGTCACCAAAAAAGGTCTAAAATCTGTGCAGCAGTGTTTCTACGTATACTAATTTTACTACGCACGAGTTTTCAAGCTTTTCAAATGGCAGTCACATTTTTGAAAGCCGTTGCAAAACACTTGTTACGGTGTACCTGGTGTAAGTTTCGAAAAAAAAAAGCATTACGGTTGAGCGCAAATTCTACATAAAGTGGGTGTCTTCAGAAGTCTAATGCAAGACTTTCGGCCCTTTCAATTCTTTTGCTTGGGGAAATGGCTCTTGATGTTTCAAAACACGCTTCAATCTTACGGTATTTGTACAACAGTGAAAAGCGATTGATAAAAAGCCACATATCTAAGTTGATGCCAGCTTACAGATCTAGATACTGTTGGGACCGCTCTATATCCAATCGCAACTCAGTATATAATATATATATGAGGGTATATAATCTTTTTTGAAGTACCAAAAATCTCTTCACAACCGTCACAGGGGTAGCTTTTAGGTTCCTAAGTCTCTTCACGTCACGATTAAACCGTTTTTCCATCATAAATTGTAACATAACAAAGTGTCCATTCTCAAAATCTACATGAAACATTTTATTCTTAGATGTTTTGGCAGTAGCCTATGACACCCGCCGGGGCCCGAAGTGTATGTGTGCCAAGTTTGGTCCCGATCGGTTCAGAAATGGAATTTTCTATTTGGAACATACGTACACACATACAGACAAACAGACATTCAGCTTTATATATAAGATTGTTAAAGGTCAAAAACGCACGAAAATGCAATCAATAGCAATTTTTTAGATAATCCGGTCAGTCTTCTGACAAAAGTCGTAAAACTTATCAGATGATTACTTCAAACAGCTAGTAAGCCAGTGTGCTTTGTTCGGTACTTTTTGAAACTCCCATAGCACGAAATAGGAGTTTTAAGTTGGTGCCAGACGGAAAAATCGCACTTCTTGACCGTCTCCCTTTCATAGGCAGTCTCAATGATGCAAATTATTCGATCAGTATTCGAAAATCGGATGATATTCGAAGATTGAATAACATTCGAGAGCCGAATAATATTCGAAATTCGAATAACGAATGATATTCGATATTCGAATATTATTCGATTCGAAATTTTTATTTTCGAATAATATTCGATAGTCGAATATTCGAAATTTCCGATTTTCGAATAATATTCGAAAGTCGAATATTTGAAATTTTTGTTTTCGAATATTCGATAGTCGAATATTCGAAATTTCCGATTTTCGAATGATATTCGAAAGTCGAATATTTGAAATTTTCAATTTTCGAATAATATTCGATAGTCGAATATTCGAAAATTCCGATTTTCGAATATTATTTGATATTCGAATATTCGAAATTTTCAATTTTCGAATATATTCGATATTCGAATATTCGAAAAAAATTTCGAATTTCCCCAAGTATAATTGATACCCACTTCCACGAAAGAAAATTTAGCAAAGAAGCAAAAAACCTTACAGATAGTCCGATATTTTTAAGAGTTCTGCCACAACCTTACGAGATCGTAGATATAATTCACATGTTCTCAAACACTACCCCCTCTTATTCAACCCTCTCGAAAATGAAGTCAACCTGCATGCAAATAAGGGTAGTTTAAGCTACGATATCTCAGCAAGTTTCAAGAGTATCGTTCAAAAAAAGTCCATGACAACAATGTATCCTATAAAGACTTTTGTTCTGACAGAAACAAAGTTTGAACATTGGAGAATTCCTTCAATTGACATATGTCAAATTACGAAAAACATAGAAGCAGAATACCCCCCTCCCTCCCCCCCCCAACAAAAAAAACCGTAACGCTTTTCTTGCGACAACTTAACACATTATTTGGCGAGTTCTAGGAAACATGGACGTGAATGATTCGTAATCTTTGATCAAACATCTCTCGTAACTTCTCACAAAAGATAAATGAGCAGCTAAGCAACACGGATTTGTCATTGGTGCCCCAAGACCAGAAAGAGGGGGGGGGGGGACCTTCGATCGAAGTGGGATTCCCACACACATGATGTATATCTCTTTCTGGTCTTGGGGCACTAATAACAAATCCGTGTTCCTTAGATGCTCAATTATCTTCTGGGAAAAGTTACGACAGATGGTTTCCCCAGGGTGACCACGGATCGCATGAGTTAGCGGCGCCGAGAAATGTCAGTTGTGGAGGGATGGCCGAGTGGATAACCGTGTAGACTATGGAGGAAATGGTAAAACGTTCGAAATACTTGTGTTCCAGACATTCTTCCATTATATAGATTGTAGTGTTTGATATGCACAGTCGAATCGTCTCATATAATCATGTATGCATTGCGCACACCGTTCATCTTTGGCGTCCTCATCCAGTATTTGCAGTGACACACATGATCATATGAAATGATGCGACTGTATCCTTCTAGGGCCCTAAGGAAGAGAAACACCCGGCACCCGTTGAATAATTTGCAAAAATGCAAGAATGTTTGGAACATAAGGATTTCGAACATTTTACCACTTCCTCTATTGTCTCCGCAGCTATCCACTCGACCATCCCTCCACAGCTGACATGCGCTGCGCTACAAGCCTTATAACCATTTTTTGATGAATCTGCCCTACGGGCCACCCACACAATCGTCGTTTTGGAAAAGAGTTGCCCCCGAAGCCTCCAAACCGATATTTCGGGAATAAAAGTGCCCTACGGGCCATCTATAAACCAATTATTAAAAAAGAACTGCCGTGTGGGTTGCGACAGACCAACATCCGAAAAAAAAAGAACTGCTCACGGGCCACCTGCGAACGCATAATTCGAAGAAACTGCCCTGTGAGCTTACAAACGAAAAGAATTGCCCTACGGGCCTGTTAATGATATAAAATTATACGAATCCACTGCCCTATGGGGAGCTTACAGACCCAGAATTTGCCTTACGAGCCCCAAAAACTAACTACCAGCAACCTACAGATTGAAATATCTGCTCAAAAACCACCAACAAACCAAACTTCCGAGAAATGATTGCCCTAAGACCCTATTAGAGATTGTAACGACCGCTCTATGGGCCGCCTACAGACCGTTTATCCAAGACAAAACGGAAGATGTCCTCATCTGCCATCACCGACTTTCGTTTAACGCCACAGGCACCATGAAAGCTTTAGCACGAAAATGGGAATGTGAACAGATCATTGAAGCAGTAGGTTGTAAGATTAGTACAGCATGTTTACGCAGCTCCCAGACTGTCATAATTGAAAGTACAAACTTGTGAAAAAGGGGGTGGCAAGAGTGTCCGCACCTCCAAAACTATAGCGTTTTTGCACTAAATAGCCTCACGCCTTTCTAAAACACTCCTTTAGGAAGATGAGGTTCACCCATACGAAAACAGGCTAGCCTAGTTGACAAATCTTCACTCTCACACCCGCCGCAATCACGCCCCATTCCGCAACCTGTCACCATGTGAGTGCAAACCCTTTCCGTTCCTTATCATAGAATGATTTAAAGTGCGACTCCCAATATTCCTGGTAGCAAAGAAGTAGTATTAATTTGTATTATGTGCTAAAAAGTAGTTAGCTCATCTTTGAGACAGAGTTAGCATAAACGGCAATGACCACCTCACTTGGGTGGCCCAATATCTGAAAACCTCACATTCGCTGAAGCTTAGCTCGCAGGGTTACTTAAAAGGCTAATTACGACTCCCCTCCCCTTTGACCCCTCAATACATCCCACCTGTGGCGTGACATACCCCAAACTTAACCTCGCTCATATATCCTAACAGCTCTTCGAACAGTGATGCTGCCAGCAAGCGAGACCCAAGCCCTTACATTTATTTACTTATTTATTTATTTTATTTGTAAATAAATTAATAATGGCCCTGACATGTAGTGAGGGCGCGTGCAGTTGACCGCGCAACCTGTCAAGTAGGATCAAATGAGGCCATGGTTCCAGCAACAAAATTTCATTCGCGGACAAGGTACAGTCCGTCCCAATTGAGATCAGGACAAAGCGTTAGGAATTGCCTGGCAGCGCTAGAAGTGTGCGCTGCAGTGCGCATGCAAGTTACTGCCGGAGAGATCGAGCAAACAGAGAAACGACAGCTCCATCAGACTTCCTTTAGCAAAACGCAGACGTGAAGCCTTTTGTTATAGGACGCGTGAATACGTCGATGTATGTATTCCAATTTTACTAACGGATTGGGACAGACCACACGCGCAATTTCGTAGCTACTCTTTCTGATAAATGTAAGGCTTACCTTTCCGGCTCGTAGCAGCTGTTAATCCTGTTGGCGGTCGCATTCCGCCAAGTCCTTCCCAATGACAATGGCGGCAGCCTTGATATCAACTAAAATAAGTTTTTTGTAAACTATAGACCGTTGGTTCTTTAAGTCGAAAGCTCGTTTGCAACGTGCGTAAAGTACGCCAAACATCTGCAGCTGGTAGAGCGGCAGCGCTCAAATTGATGTTTGGGCAAAACGAAGGAATAAGGACATACAAAGCAGCTCCACAATAACCCCCCCCCCCGTTTGGAGGCAGAGACGAAAAATTCGCTCAGATTAACTGTCAATTACAGTATACTAGTTGATGGCCCAGCCATCAGGAACCGTATACATTAACAAACAATGAGAGTAAGGTTTACCCTTGAGAGCATAACTCCTGTTCATTCTACCCTCAAGGTTTACTTGGTTTTCACAAAGCTACTTGGGGTTGAAATTACCCTGGTAGTCAGCAGAGTGTACACTGACGCTTGTTTCGGTGAGGAGGTCATTTCGCGTGAGCTACGTAAACTCACATCACAAATTGCCTAAGTTTGCGTATTGCCTTCTTTATGTTGTCGGGAAAATTATGCCGCATCATCTGCTATTATGTGATACCGCGGCAGCGCGAACACGAAAAAAATTGGTTGAAATAACGACAGAGCAATGCAAATTCCACAAGAGGGTATCAGAGTATTGCGCCAATCAATTTATTGGATTTTTGAGCCGAAATTCAAAGAGATTAGTTGCCTCAAAAACTGAGAAATCATATCATACATACAATATTAGTTTTTGGAATTACCCGCTACTTTTATCGGTTTTATCGATTTTTTTGCAAAGTTTGAGCTAGGGGGCTGGGGGTTGGCACGGGGGGGGGGGGGGGGTAAGTGAGCATGCCGATTACGAATACAGTATTAGTTTTTAGAATCTCATATATGCAGCTGAATGTCTGTTTGTCTGTCTGTATGTATGTGTGTCTGTACGTATGTTCCAAACAGAAATTTTTATTTCAGAACTGATTTGAACCAAACTTGCATACATACACATCGGGATGGGACGGGTGTCATAGGCTACTTTTCGTCATCAATCGATATCGATTTTATCAATTTTTATCGATTTTTTACAGAGTTCACCTACGGGGCTGGGAGTCGGCACAGGGGGGGGGGGGAAGCGAGCATGGGGATTCCGGAAACAGTATTAGTTTCCAAAGTTATCCATTACTTTTACTGATTTTATCGATTTTTTTGCAAAGTTTGAGCTACGGGGCTGGAAGTTGGCACAGGGGATAACCGAGCATGCTGATTACGAATACAGTATTAGTTTTTGGTATTACTTAATATTTTATTTTATTTATTTTACTTTCAATACACTCATGGTGCGCCTTAAATGAGAAACAAAAAATAGACAAAGCAACTATGAACAAAACGAGAACCCAGCCAGTTTCAATTGCAAGAGTTTAACAAAATAGAGAAATAGAAGAACAGGACAAAAAAACCCACTCCCCAGGCCTACCAAGACGTTTAATCACCTAAAAAGGTCAAGCTGCGAACAACCTTTATAGACTGTATAGAATCCAAATCTTGCTCACTCTAAAATTATTGTGGCTTACCCCGTCGTTTGAGTGTCAGCGAGCCTGCGGGTAAAGTTAGCTGACTGGCCCCCAACAAAGGTTTATTTTAGAGGAGAGCAAGATCTATTGAACATCTAAATGAATTTTTTAAAGAAAAAGTGGCAGGGCATGGGGCTAGGTAGCTGTTATACAACGTTATCAGAAAACCCCTTGTTGATAAGATTGGTTGGTTTACGGATAGCATATAACCGTGGTTAGAAACACTACTACAGATATGAATGAAACCTCGATGTACACTCATTCTAATAAGAGGCAGAAGAATTGAGGATAAATGGCAGGAAAGATAAGCTTCAGAGTCCGTAAACTCAGTTTGAAAAACAACGACATAAAAATTTTGTAGTAACACAAAACTCGAATCAATTATTACTTTTATCGATGTTATCGTTTTTTTTCAAAATTTGAGCTGAAGGGCTGGGAATTGGCACAGGCGGTAAGTGGGCGTGCTGATTTCGAACACAGGGAACGGGAAATGAAGTGTAGAAGTGAGCACAGGGAAAGGCTGTACAGGGATAGGGATGGGACCTTTATTACAGTGTTTTGACAGGGCCAAGCGGAGCCGGGTAAGCCAGCTAGTTATTCACTAAGGTCCGTATGCACGTACATCCCCGCGAGGAGGAGATGTGCGTTTTACCATTGAAATGATCCCCGCTGGGGCTTTCCTCCCCTCCCATGCGAACCCCCGTATGCACAAAAACAATATCGGAGAATGGACCTCCTGGGAGTAGGTGAAGTGAACTCCCTTATGCACAATAGGGGTTTGAGCGGGGAAATCATTTCGCTTCCGCTTTTCTATGGTAATTTTCCTCCGTTCTCATCTTTTGCTAAAGCTAGCCCTCTTTATTTTGTCATCGGCAATTCTTCATTCGTTGCGGTATGCATGTCTGCTGTAATTGCGCTCCGCGCGCCAAAAATAATAATTTTTACACCCATTAGATTCCTGCTGTCATGAATGTTGCTCACATTTTTCATGATGCCCATTCCAGCATAAGGATATTCAACAACGAAGTCAAGATGTCTCTGCAATGAATGGGTAAGACGTTATGCTGCCGAAAAAGAGGGGGGGGGCGGAGATTGCGGCGGCACTAAAATCAGAATTTGTACACATAACAGAAGCTGCAAATCGTGCCAGCTCTTCATGGGGGCTGTAGCTATTAGCGACATAAGTCCATTCCCTCAAGGGAATGATCCCCAGCAGCCATCCCTGCTATGCATGAGGGGAACGATGGGGAGGGGATCAATACCCTGGGAATTTCTAATCAGAACTAGGTAAATCTGCTACTTTCTAGATTTTTCTAAGGCAGCTTATGTTGAGATAACAAAATAAAGGCAATATATCATATAACACGATAGTTACAATGTGTTTAGTCAGCTCATATGGTTAAAACTATGTCATATGAAAAATGCGCAAATTTCTTGAATGATCAAGAACTCCTATAAATATTTGAAATTGACAGCTATTATTGCTCGGGTTTCTTCTCGAGAGGCGAACAGAGGTGCGATAGTCGGAGCCGATTCTCCGCCTACCTTCACTTTTGAGCTGGTACAGGATGACCACCTTCACTTTTAGGTTTGAAAATTTTTTTTTGCTAAAGCTCAAAACAAGGAAAATAAGCAAAAGAAATGTAAAAGAAAGTGTTAAGAGCATATATCTATGTAGTAGGTCGATCCAGGCAGTAACCGCCCAGAACCAGAATTTCGAATGATAAAATAATGAAAAATCGTGAAAAATCATTCCACTGTTACAAATCCGCTGGCTGAAGACCTCCGCAGTTGCGACTTCATAGGTTTTCATCACGGCATATGCCCGGGGTGGAGTACCTCTCTTCACTAATTCTCCACTGGCGGCCTCCCGTCAATACATTGAAATGGGCGGGGTGGAGAATTAGTGAGGAGGAGTACTCCATTCCGGGTTAGCGCCGCAAGAAACATTGAATCCCCCACATATTATATATCATCTAAAAGCTCTCGATGAGAAGAATCCAACCTATGAAGTCGCAACATCACACATCTTCAAAGTCCGGATTTATAAGAGTTAGAATATCAGTTGTCATTGAGCAACCTAAAATTGAGAAGATTTTAAAGGTTTTCCAAAATTCTCGTTTTCGGCGGCCACTCCTCAAATCAAACTGATTCTTTCACTGTCTGGTAGAACAACACTTACCCTTCAAAACTATGAAGTCGCAACTGCGGAGGTCTTCAGCCAGCAGATTTGTAACAGTGGAATGATTTTTCACGATTTTTCATTATTTTATCATTCGAAATTCTGGTTTTCGGCGGTTACTGCCTGGATCGACCTACCTTCTTCGCAGTACGTCAGAAAAAAATGTACTCAATAAAACACATAAAGTCTTGCTGAGTATCACTCACAAATACACTATTTCATTAACACGTTTTTTTAAAAATATTCAAGCAGTTGTACTCATCGTATTTGTGGCCCTGAAGAGGGCTGTTGGGTCACAGTTATTGGCCCTAAAGAGGACCGTTGAGTTAGAGCTCTTCAGTTGTCCGAAGTCATCATGAAGCTTTGCTCTATCGTAGAAAGCGCTGAGACGTATATGCGTCCATGCCGGTGATGGCCTCCAGGTGCTCGCAGTAGGCGACGGCGACTTCGTAAAAATAAACTACATGGAATATGCTCTCAATACTTTCTTTTGCGTTCGTTTCGCTTAATTTCCTTTTTTCAGTTTCACCAAAAAAATCAATCCCAAAAAGTCGAAAAAAAAACCCGAACCAAAAAAAACCAAAAAACCCAAACCCAAAGTCCGTCCTGTGCTCCCCCTACCTCTCTATCCCCACCTCGGTCAACGTTTTTGAGAGGTGAGTGTCCGGCACTACCACCTTCACTTTTGGCCGGCCAGTGGTAGCTGAAGCCAAGTTCACTTTTGGAGGGCCCGGCTCCACCTATCGCACCTCTGGAGGCGAATATAGAAGAGAAAGACAAAATTGCAAGCTACAGGTCGCTACGAGAGGAACCCGACTTTTCAAAAAAAAATCTCTCATCAAGTTGAACGAAATGCCTGGTAATAACTGATTGAACCAAAATATTCGTTTCTCTGGCACGATCTGCACAATCGAACCCCTACTCCGTTGCAGGGGATGTCGACCCCCTCCCCCCGCGTTGTTAAGCTACATCCGTTCGTACGAGGGTTAGGGGACGGATCAAGGGACCCCCGCTAATGTTCGCCCGATCGATACCCCTAAAATCAACTACCGAATCTGTGGCAGCGAAAGAGTACCGCAAAGAAATGGCTAGGAAACGTTGAGCAGGAACCACAGAAATTGCAAAACTGCGCACTCATGAACTCTTCTATGAGAGAAATAAGCCATAACATAATTGCTAACAAGGAAACGATACTTGGTGTCCGTGGCCTTTTGAGATGGAATGTATACCATTACACTCATCTTGGAGCGCTGATTCCGAATCTGACTTCCGTTTCTGCTAATCGTTTCCCTAACAGA